GTATTTGAATTGATATATGGCCAGGGTCAGGTTTGTATTTGAATTGAGTATATGGCCTGGTTCGTGTTTATGTAGGTTTTTACATTGAGGGCTTTAGAATCATATTGATATTTGTTTGGAAGAAGTTGCAGACAGGTACCTAAGTTCTAACTGAAGATACTGCTGAGTCAGGTTTTATGGTGAGGTTGAGCAGTTTTAATTTGTTTACCCTATACTTGCCCAGCAGTTACAGAAGAATCTCTTTATGGTTGACATTTTTCTGTTTATGTGCTGATGTTGTTCTATTTTTAGTGAGGTAGTGATTCAGTCACAGTGCAGAGGACAGGAGATTCATACAATTTAACACTTGGCAGTGAATCATAAATGGGAAGGGAGTTGTGAATCCATGTGTTAATGTCGAGAGTTCACTGGTTTCACATTCCTACAGAGGGAGAATTGGTTGAATTAACGTGAAGCACGTTAGGAGGTAGAACTGAAGGATACAAACTCCGCGGAAGATGTACGGGAATTGGTGTAACAGATAGCAGTAATAGAATATGTGTGTTCCTAACAGTTACTGCCCTGAGAAGGGAGGTCTAAGATTTCTCCTGGAAACACTTATGTTCCAGCTGAACGCATGCTGGGTCATTGCACAAAGCAATAATGAAAACAATCACCTCTAGTGGGAGTCAGCGAAAGCCAGACCAGGTAAGGCTGGCAGAACCCCTACTGTGTGGAAGCAGGCCATTCAGTCTGCAATGATCCTCTGAAGCACATCCCCCTCAGACCCATACCCCCTCCCCTATCCCTGTAACCCAGCATTTCCCCATGGCTAATCCACCCTAACCTGCACACCTTTGGACTGTGGGAGGAAACTGGAGCAAACCCAGACACAGGGAGAATGTGCAAACTCCTCACAGACAGGCACCCATGGGTAGAATTGAACCCAGGTCCCTGGTGCTATGAGGCAGCTGTGCTAACCACTGAGCCACCGTGCCGCCCTGATGACAGGCTCCCTGTACTAAGGTGTATTGGTGATTAATTTGTTCTTTTGCAACAACTTCAGTGGGTCCTTCACCCAGTGCCAGCCCACATGGTGAATCCCCTCCAGTTAAGATGCCGTTTACAAATTGACATTTGGACCCTCATCCCCTTTGGGCTCCAGTTCAGTTGTATAACTGATGAATATATTTCCGCGCTCATGTTATGGGGCCTCCTAGCTCCAATACGAGGAGGTGTATCAGGGCTTTTTGGGATATGAAGCTGACTGTTACAGGCTGAGCACAGACCTGCCAGTTCATTCCAGGCGTGCGAGGGCTAAGTTCTTTGGGAACGTAAGATCCAGGGCTCTGTAGTTGGATCGATATTGTATTGGTGACTTGTAACTGTCAGTCGGTTGGTAGGACTCTTCTCCTGAGTCAGCAGGAACTGGGGTTCAAGTTCGATTCCACTCCAGATCTCTGAGCACCCCCTCTACATCAACACTCCAGTGCAGTATGGTTGGTGGTGCTGTTTTATCAGATGAGATGGTGAACTGAGGTGCTGTTTGCCTGAAGACGTGGATATGAAAGGAATATGTGCATTTATATAGTGCCTTTCACAACATCAAGCTGCCCAAAAGTTCTTTTATCGCCAAGCGAGTATTGTAATCTTCAGAAGCACTCTAGTATCAAATGGCTCTACTGAAGAGGGTTTTCCTTGTGCACTGGTCAATATTTATCCCTCAAGCGGTAAGATGAAAGAGTTTAATTGGTTATCCGATTTATGCATTGAACTGTGCTGACAGTAAAATTCAGAAACAACTCATTCGGCACAAAATGTACACTGTTTGCTTACACCAGGATTGGTGTCTGTGATGGCTTCCCACTGTACCTGACAAACTTTCAGTTGTGACAGAGATGCCTTGGTTTGCATGAACATTGGGAACCTGTGGAGAGTGTGAGGACGTGCTTGTAAATATAACCTCTTCCGGTGTTTAAGTGTGCGGTCATTGCTATTTGTGGGATCTTGCTGTGTGCAAGTTGGATCCTTCATTTCCTGTGGTGGCCATTTTTCACCGGTTTTCGGGAGACTGTGAGGTGGCGCCTCAGTGCAACTTCCTTTTCCTCTCCTACCGACGGCCATTTTGTTGCTGCTTTTAGGATTTCCTGTCAGAGAGCGAGGCCTGCCAGAGCAAACTCAACACTCTCATTTCCAAAGGCGAGCTGCTGAGCAGGATTCTCAGCAAGGAGAAGGCCGAAGCCATCCAGGCCAAAGTGTCCACTGCCAAGGAGGACTGGAAGAACCTGCTCACAAACCTACACCAAAAGGAAGCTGCCTTACAGGTCGGTTCATCAAACATCCAGCAAAATAAAGGGAATAAGAATAAACTTTCAATCAAGGAAAATGTCTCATTGGAGAACTCCTCTCAGATAGTGAGCACAGATAGAAGGGATGAATGGCCATCTTTTATATATTAACAGTTCAGTCTTACTCCTTGCCCCTTTCAGTTTAATAAATGTGATCATGGGCACAGTGTCGCACGATGGGGAGGCAGTGGGGCTGTGTATTTGAGTGCACTGACTTCAGAATCCTCGAAACCACCAACAACTGGAAAATGTGCCATCTGGGGACAGATTGAGCTCAGGCCTTTGACAGGACCTTGAGTGTGTTTTTGCAGATCGTAATGGTGTGCAGGGATGTGGGGAGGAGGCCGGAGATTGTCATTGGGTAATAGGGCTGGTGCGACCGCTATGGGCTGAAGGGCCTCCTCAGTACCCCGACAGTTCCGCGACACAGGAACCACTGATGGAGCGAATTAGGCCATTCAGCCCCCTCAGTCGAGTCTGCACTGCCACTCAGTGAGATCCCGGCACGTCTGATAACCCTGAACTCCATTTTCCTGCCTCTCTGTCAGCCTCCTATCCAGGTGTCTTGTGTTCATGCAGATGAGCTGAGCCAACCCTGATGCTGTGAGCCCGCTCTGGCCTTCATTTCGGAGGTGTCAGATGTTGAAGCTGATGCCTTCTTCAAGTTAAAGGGACTCAGTTTTACAGGAGACACAGTTGGCCCTGCCCACTGTCTCAAACATCAGGTCAATCATGGCTCGGCCTGCGTGGGGCGCTATGACTGGAGTTGATGGCTGCCGGGTAGTTAACTGACCATGGTTAAACATGGCGCCCCCATGTAGGAGGATATTCAGTCTCCCAAGAGCAGCCGGCCAACCAGATGGCCCGGAGCGGTGGTCACTGCTGGGGTCATGTCCTTGGAATAGGAGCATTGCCGGGGGTTGGACTGCGAAACACAGAGTGGTCTCTTGGAGGCCCAGGCAAGAGGTGTAAGGGGGGGGGGGGGGACGTCTGCAGCGATTGAGAGGCTAATGGAATGCGACGTTCTATTGGCGAGAAAGGGTCCCAGAAGGGGAGAAGCCACGCCCTCCTAATTCTGCGCCCTCCGATGAGGCAAGGAGACAGTAAGAAACGTTGCCATGGTGAGCACAGATTGAGCGGGCGCCATGGTGACCGTCAACATCCTGGCAGATGCTGGGCCGCCCAAGCGCGGACTCGATCCGTTCTCCCGAGGTGGTCTTGGGGAGCGGGTGACCCATGCCCTGGCCCCCATGTGTCACGGGAACACAGGCGGAGAGTTTGTCAGTGCAGCGCAGTGACCATTCGGTGTGGAGATGTTCCATGTGGGATCTCACTGTGCACCTGGTGCAGTGAGTGTATCCTACTGCTTAGTGAATAGGTAAGGATAAAGTGCCAATCATATCTGTAGTTTTGTTCCGCGTCGTTGAGGTGAGTAGTGGGGCTCCCTGCCTAGACCCCTCCCCCTCCCCCAATGGTTCCCGTGACCTTTAAGGGGCCCTCATTTCGTGCAGTGGTAACGTCCCTACGCCTGGACTGGGAGGCCCAGGTTCAAGTCCCACCCGCTCCAGCGGTGTGTAATAACATCTCTGAACAGGTTGGTTAGAGTAAACAAAGTAGTTAAAAAGAGAAAAAAATAGGTTAAACAAAATAAAAACTTCCAATGTGGGCAGGTCACCTCCTGTGCTGCCGGGAAATTACCGGTGGAATTGGGAAGGCAAGGAATACGGTATCCCCTACCACCCGTTCTGAAACCTTTATTCCCCCCCCACACAACTCCCTTGATTGGCTGTTCGCTCACTCCCAGGAGGGTTCGTGGGGAAGAGGGTGGGTTGAAATTCTGGTGTCCATCAAAAAAGGTTGCCGTGAGTTTTAGTTCTCGGGGTTTTAAAGGATGACGACGACCTGTTTTACTTTTCTGTTGTTTTGACTTTTCTTACCCGCTGCCCTCCCTTCCTCAGAACCTGCAGTCTCAGATGAAGGATTTCGAAGCTGGCGTTGGGCCTGTACAGGAATGGCTGGTTACCACGGAAGCGGCAGTACAAGAGAGCAGCAGCCAGCTGCCTGACCTGTTGGCCAAGAAGAACGAGCAGTTCAGGCTTCAGGTAGTCCCCCTTCCCCCACTTCCCCCGATCCCCCATTCGCCCCTCCCCCTCCCCCCCCCTGGCGAACTCCAGGCTCAGATTGGCACCGTGCACGGCACATTCCATTGCAGCTGTCCACACAATCCGTACCCCGTAGGCTTGCTCTAGCGCCGCGATGCATGTCCGCCCCCTCACCACCCTCACGGCCTAATCTGCCAAAGCAGGGCCTCCATCCTGCTCACCCAGTAACGTGCTTGCCTTCGTGTTAGCCCATGATTGTGTGTCTGTCTTTTCAACAAAGTTGTTGATGTGCTTTGCTTTCATTTCCTGATGGTGAGTGGCGTTTATTAACATGCTTCTCCTGCACTGCACCCCCTCCCTCCCCCCAGCCATGTATGATATGCACGGTAACATGTGTTGTGTTTTTTGCAAACCCGCTTCTGCCTTGCAGTCTGTCCTAGAGGATATAGCCTGCCGTGAACCCCAGCTAAACAAGCTGAAAGAGAAAGCTCAGCACCTATGGGAAGACCAAGCTTCCAACAAGAGCTTTATGCACAGAGTCTCTCAGCTGTCCGCTTGGTATTTAGCCTTAAGTAACTTGGCCAAGGTAAGGCCCAGGAGGGAACGTGTTCCACTCGCAAAATCAAAACCAATTGGAACTGTTGACTGTCTAAAAGCAAACGTTTTGCAATAAATTCTCAGATCTTACTCTGCCTCTGCTCATGGGGAGTGAGTGATCAGCCTGTCATCTCTCAATCTCGTATCATTGAATTCGCCAGAGTCTGATTTGATTTGATTTATTATTCTCACGTGTACCTAGGTACAATGAAAGTTTTTGTTTTGCGTGCAGTCCAGGCAGATCATACCACATGAAATGCATTAGGGTAATGGAACAGACCGAAGAATACAATGTTATGGCTGCAGAGAGGGTGCACTGAGAGCTAGATCAACATTAGGTTTAAAATTTGAGAGGTCTGTTCAGAATTCCAATAACAGCGGGAAGAAACTGTTTTTGAATCTATTTGTATGTGTAATCTTTATTCCTGAAAGTAGATTTAAGGGAACATTGTTAGTAATTCTGATAGGTTTAGAATTGAAGTTTAGAAGAGCAGAGCATTTAGGAGAAGAATAAGATCTGCTGTAGACAGCTCGCAAAGTGTCACCACCATCCTGCTCCAGCACCATCTTGAAACTAAAAAAAACTGGTTGTACCGTGGAGTTTGATTAATTTATTCATTCATTCCATCGGCACTCCTCTCCCCCACCCTCACCTCCTGCAACATGGGTGGAAGGCTGGGATTGGTAAATGGTGTCTCAGATTGTAGGCTTCCCCTCACCGTTAATGGTCTGTTTCAAGTTAGCAGCACACGTGAAGCTGAGTTCTTGAGTGGCTGTTTCTGATGTATGAATGGGTGAAATTTTTACTTTTGTCTTTTTATTACAAAAATATACTTTATTCTTAAAAAAATCTTTAAATTCCGTACAGTCTTTGCATATAAAGCAAAAACAATTGGAATTTGAAAACGCCTGCAGTTGCAAAATTCAAAGGCATTTCCTACTCATATAGGAGACTATTTACATTGATTTTGAGAGAGGGTCCAATAACTCATCAGACCCTCATTATAGTTTGGCAGAAAGACCTTAGACAGTGGTCTTTCCCCACTGTGGCAGTTGTCCCAAGCTTTAGTGCATCCCTCAGCATGTAGTCCTGGACCTTGGAATGTGCCAGTCTGCAACACTCGGTCGAGGTCAACTCTTTACACTTGAAGGCCAACAAGTTTCAGATGGACCAAAGAGTGTCTTTTACTGATTTGATGGCCCTCCAGGTGGAGAAGTGTGTCCCAGGGAACAGACTGTAGAGCACATGCTCCTGCATCACGGAGCTGCTCGGGATGAACCTCCGCAAAGACCACTGCATCTTTCTCCAGACTTCCTTTGCAAAGGCACATTCCAGAAGGAGGTGTGTGACGAAAGGAGATGTGTGAATGGGCGAGGTTAGTGTGATGTCTGAGAGTGTCAGAGCCACTTGTTTACCCTGGGAGCAGGTTTTCATTCTCACCCAGTTGGTGCCATTGTATTGCAATGCCAGGCCATATTTAGAGAGTGAGCAGAGCCTGCAGCTCAAAGTATGCCCTTTGAGTGATTTGATTTAAGGGTAGGTCATATGAACAGGGGTACCCAGGACAGAGGCTTGCCCGGTGGGAGACCACCACAATTTTCAGGATGCTGTGTTCTTTGTTTCTAATTGCTTCTGGACACTCACCCCTGACCTTGTGAATCAACTGCTTGTTGTAGGCATTTGTAGTTCTGCTTTGTACCTCGCTGTCCACAGAGGTAACTTCAAATGTTTAGCAGCTGATTACTTGTGCCACCTAACTGTTGGCTACTGCACACGCTGCTGCCCTTTCTGTAGCAGTGGGGACTGGGTAGTGGAAAGGGTTGGGGAAGCAGCCATACAGTCATAGAGTCATACAGCATGGAAGCAGACCCTTTGGTCCAACCAGTGCATGCCATCCATAATCCCAAACTTAAACTAGTCCCACGTGCTAACTCCTGGCCCATGTCCGTCCAAACCTTTCCTATTCATGTACCTGTCCGAATGTCTTTTAAACATTGTAACTGTACCTGCATCCACCACTTCCTCTGGAAGTTCATTCCACACACAAAGCATTCTCTGTGTAAGAACATTGCCCCTCACGTCTTTTTTAAATCTTTCTCCTCTCACCTTAAAAGTATGCACCCCTGTGTATTGAACTATCCCACCCTTGGAAAAAGACCTTTGGTATTCACCTTATCTGTACCCTTCATAATTTCATAAGCCTCTGTAAGGTCACCCCTCAACTTCCTGCTCTCCAATGAAAACAGTCCCAGCCTATCCGTTTCTCTCGTCATTGCGAGCTAAGATTTAGTGGTGATATGGAGGGAGTGATGGGACTGTGGCGGGTAAACAGCCCTTTAGCTCAGCAATGCTATACATCGGCATCAGGCTGCAGCACACAACATTCTTCCAGTCTGTGAGACCTGGGATTTGAACAAGCTTTAGCTCCGTGAAGAGGCTGGAGAAGGGTTTGTCATTCTTTAGCATTGAGAAGGCCAAGGGAAGATTAAACGTAAGTGCTTCCAAATGTTTAATAGAGTAAGTAAAAGGAAATTCTCTATTGGTGAAATGATCAATAGCCAGATTTAAAATTATTGACAGAAGAACTAGTTAGGGTTGAGCAAAAACAGAAGTTGCTGGAAAAGCTCAGCAGGTCTGGCAGCATCTGTGAAGAAAGAAAATCAGAGTTAATGTTTCAGGTCCGGTGACCCTTCCTCAGAACTGGGAGAACCAGACCTGAAACATTAACTCTGACTTGTTCTTCACAGATGCTGCCAGACCTGCTGAGCTTTTCCAGTAACTTCTGTTTTAGTTCCTGATGTACAGCATCTGCAGTTCTTTCGGTTTTTAGTTCGGGTTGAGATTTTGTTTTACACAGTGAGTTGCTGTGAATGTAAGCATACTGCCTGGAAATATTTACTTTCAAAAGGAACAGTAGCGTTGTTGGAGCTAACCTGGGTTTGTACGACTATTGCTGACTTTTAGGGAACATGGGGTTGACTTATTTGGGGAGAAATGAAATGCATGATTAGAATTGGGAAGGACTTGTTGTAATGTTCTCTCCTTTTCTGGTTTTCAGGAGAAGGCACTAAGAGTTCAGCGAACTGTGTCTGAACATCAGCAGTTCTCGCAGGGTCTGAAAGAGTTACAGGACTGGCTGACTGATGCCAGGCACATGCTGGAGTCTTACTGTGCTCCCACTGCTGATAAAAACCTACTGGACAGTCGGATGGCAAAGGTTGAGGTGAGTTTGGCAGGGTACGTTCACTCTGCATTGCTGGTTGTCCACACGTAACTCCTGTCTGGAGCCATGCTCAGGGACATTGGTCTTTGCACTTGATTTGATCAGGCTGTAGTGGAGAACCTCCCAGCTCCTCCCCAAAATAACTCCATGGGAACTCCTCCATTGGTATAGGAGGGCAGTTGAAAAGATGGCATCTGTCGCAGCACAGCATTCCCTCAGGATTGGTCTGAAGAGGGTCAGCCTGAGTTGTGTGTTCAAACCCTTTATTTTTGATGCAGCCAGTGATAAGTGTGCATGACCTTCTCCTTAAACGTTCTTGTAGTTTCACAGTAGTTTTACTGAACAGAAGGTCTTGTAACAATATAAAGCTGTATGGTGGCTTAGTGGTTAGCATTGATGCCTCACAGTGTCAGAGACCTGGGTTTGATCCCACCCTCGGGCAACTGTCTGTGTGGAGTGGACAAATTCCCCCTGTGTCTGCGTGGGCTTCCTCCAAGTGCTCCGGTTTCCTCCCACACTCTGAAGATGTGCAGGTTAGGGTGGATTGGCCGTGCTAAATTGCCCATAATGTGCAGGCTAGATGGGTTAGCCATGGGAAATGCAGCGTTACAGGAGTGGGGAGGGGGGCAGGCCTTGGCAGGATGCTCTTAGGAGGGTCAGTATGGACCTGATTGGCTGAATGGCCTGCTTCCACACTAGGGATTCTGTGATAAAGCATGTTGTTTTTAACGTTGGGTTAATTCCAGGGATTTAGAGAAAGACTGAGGTGGATGTGGAAGGCAGTCTTAATTTCTGTATAAACAGGGAAGATGTTAATTTTACTTTATGGGACGGTATTGAGAGGAATGCAGGCAATAAAACAAAAGAATTCTGAGGGGCAATATGAAACAACAAGGTGTAGAGCTGGATGAACACAGCAGGCCAAGCAGCATCAGAGGAGCAAAAAGGCTGACGTTTCAGGCCTAGACCTTTCATCAGAAATGGGGGAGGGGAAGGGGTTTCTGAAATAAATAGGGAAAGAGGGGGAGGGGGATAGAAGATGGATAGAGGAGAAGATAGGTGGAGAGGAAACAGACAGGTCAAAGAGGCGGGGATGGAGCCAGTAAAGGGGAGTGTAGATGGGTGGTTAGGGAGGGGATAGGTCAGTCCATGGAGGACAGACAGGTCAAGGGGGTGGGATGAGGTTGGTAGGTAGGAGATGGGGGTGCGGCTTGAGGTGGGAGGAGGAGATAGGTGGGAGGAAGAACAGGTTAGGGAGGCAGGGACGAGCTGGGCTGGTTTTGGGATGCGGGAGGGGGAGGGAAGATTTTGAAGCTTGTGAAGTCCACATTGATACCATTGGGATGCAGGGTTCCCAAGCGGAATATGAGTTGCTGTTCCTGCAACCTTTGGGTAGCATCGTTGTGGCACTGCAGGAGGCCCAGGATGGGCATGTCGTCTGAGGAATGGGAGGGGGAGTTGAAATGGTTCACGACTGGGAGGTGCAGTTGTTTGTTGCGAACCGAGCGTAAGTGTTCTGCAAAGCGGTCCCCGAGCCTCCGCTTGGTTTCCCCCATGTAGAGGAGGCCACAACGGGTACAGCGGATGCAGTATACGACATTGGCAGATGTTTAGGTGAACATCTGCTTGATGTGGAAAGTCTTCTTGGCCCCTGGGATGGGGGTGAGCGAGGAGGTATGGGGGCAGGTGTAGCACTTCCTGCGGTTGCAGGGAAAAGTGCCGGGTGTGGTGGGGCTGGAGGGGAGTGTGGAGCGGACAAGGGAGTCACGGAGAGAGTTGTCCCTCTGGAAAGCAGATAAGGGTGGGGAGGGAAAGATGTCTTTGGTGGTGGGGTTGGATTGCAGATGGCGGAAGTGTCGGAGGATGATGCATTGGATCGGAGGTTAGTGGGGTGGTACGTGAGGACAAGGGGGATTCTTTTTTGGTTGTTATTGCGGGGACGGGGTGTGAGGGATGAGGTGCGGGAAATGTGGGAGACACGGTTGAGGGCGTTCTCGACCACTGAGGGGGGGAAGTTGCGGTCCTTGAAAAACGAGGACATCTGAGATGTATGGGAGTGGATTGCCTCATCCTGGGAGCAGATGCGGCGGAGGCGAAGTAATTGGGAATAGGGGATGGCATTTTTGCAGGAAGGTGGGTGGGAGGAGGTGTATTCTGGGTAGCTGTGGGAGTTGGTGGGCTTGAAATGGATATCAGTTTATAGGTGGTTGCCCGAGATGGAGACAGAGAGGTCCAGGAAGGGGAGAGAGGTATTAGAGATGGTCCAGGTGAACTTAAGGTTGGGGTGGAAGGTGTTGGTGAAATGGATGAACTGTTCGAGCTCCTCGTGGGAGCACGAGGCGGCGCCGATACAGTCATCAATGTAACGGAGGAAGAGGTGGGGCTTAGGGCCAGTGTAGGTACGGAAGAGGGATTGTTCCACGTAACCTACAAAGAGGCAGGCATAGCTTGGGCCCATGCGGGTACCCATGGCCACCCCCTTTGTCTGTAGGAAGTGGGAGGAATTGAAAGAGAAGTTGTTGAGGATGAGGACGAGTTCGGCTAAGCGGATGAGGGTGTCAGTGGAGGGGGACTGGTCGGGCCTGTGGGACAGGAAGAAGCGGAGGGCCTTTAGGCCATCTGTATGGGGAATGCAGGTGTATAGGGACTGGACGTCCATGGTGAAGATGAGGTGTTGGGGACCAGGGAATTGGAAGTTCTGGAGGAGGTGGAGGGCGTGGGTGGTGTCACGGACGTAGGTAGGGAGTTCCTGGGCCAAGGGGGAGAAAACGGAGTCCAGATAGTTGGAGATCAGTTTGGTGGGGCAGGAGCAGGCGGAGACAATGGGTTGACCAGGGCATTCAGGTTTGTGGATTTTGGGAAGGAGATAGAAGCGGGCGGTGCGGGGTTGGGGAACGATGAGGTTGGAGGGTATGGGTGGGAGGTCACCTGAAGTGATGAGGTTGTGGATGGTTTGGAAGATGATGGTTTGGTGGTCGGGGGTGGGGTCATGATCAAGGGGCGGTAGGAGGAGGTGTCGGAGAGTTGGCGTCCGGCCTCGGCGATGTAGAGGTCAGTGCGCCATACTACAACTGCGCCTCCCTTGTCCGCGGG